TCTAAAGAAAAAGCAAGGTGTACAGGAACAGTTAACACAGTAGGCTTAAGGTTGCCATCCTCAGAAAGTCCTGTTTGCAATGTTGACACCTGACTGGTACATGGAGCTTGGATTTTAGGAGGGTTTCCACAATTCCCGAAATGATGAATGGCTCACTGTGACTAAAATGTTTCTGCAAGCAGTATGGTTTGTGCTAAACACTTGCTTTCCTTCTGGGAGTCTGGAATTTTGGTATGGACCCAGCAGAGAGTGCCTACATGTCCAATCCCAACAAAAACCTTGGACACTGAGTTTTTAATGAGCTTCCTTGGTAGACAACATATTACATGTGTTGTTACAATTTACTGCTGAAACAACTAAGTATGCCCCATATGACTTTATTGGGAAAGGACCCTTGGAAGATTGTTCTTGGTTTCCTCCAGCTTTGCCCCAGACTCCTTTTCCTTTTGCTGATTTTGCTTTGTATCCTTTCCCTGTAAGGAATCATAGCTATGAATATGACTTAATGCTGAGTGTAATGAATCCTCCTAGTGATTTTCAATCCTGAGGGTGGTCTTGGGAACCTCCAATACACAAAGATAACTGAAAATCCAAAAAGAGTCATTTCTGTCTCTATAGGAAACACCAGAGTTAACTGTCAAGTATCTTCGAAAAACTGAAAAATAAACTGCTCTTTGCAAGTTAAACTTTGAATGAATACAGATAAGTATCCCAGAAGGAAAAGACATGGCTTCTAAACTGGAGCAAGACTTGAAGCTGTTAACAGATAGAAGAAAGAACCTGTTTATCTCAGGAGAATGATTATGTGAGGGAGCACAGGAAACACTAGAAATCACAGGGGGAAATAGTGCCACTGGCTTCTCAAGTATCGATTGACACTAACCAAGGGAGAATTTTTGGCTAATGGACTGTGAATATCTTAGTTACATTGCTAAGTTTATCCTTATTATGGAAGATGATGACAAGAACCTGTTTAAAACTGATGAGATTAAAAATATGAATTACAACCTGAAAAAAAATGAACTACAAAAATTTAATCTCTCCTTTAAAATTTACTCCCACAAATCCTTCTCTTACTACCCAAGGTCTTAATGATCCAATGCTATTGAATTTCTGTAATAATCTATACCACACAATTAACCGTGTAATGCTATATTAATTTTATATTTAGTTTTAAAGTATCACATATTTAATTATGATATATTAAATGAATGCTAGCTTCCTCCCACAAATGGAACGTAATGTCCCTGAAGACAGTGCTACTCCTCCAACCACTGCAAAATATTCTCATCCTTTGGTTTTCATGAAAGCACTCTATAATTTCCCCTGCTCATCTCCAAAGTTGTTTTTCTGTCTCCCATTGCTTATGTGAAGGTAAAAACAAATCAAAAAAGAAAAAATATAATTCTCCCTGTTGAAAATGAGAGAAATGACTCTTTCTCCTCTTTTCTGAAAGCATTTACTTTAGAAAACTTACCACAGTAAATTCTTTGTCTTTTTCAAATATATGTAAATCTTTTTAAAAACTTTTCCTTAAAAGCTTCTTGCTAGCTTTATGATACATAAACATCTTTCTCAAGAACCTGGGAAACATCCCTTTGGAATATAATTAATTATCAAGGAAGTTAGCACCCCTATCTCTCAGTTTCTGTGGGAGTGTGGGAACCTAACTTCAGCAGGTGCCTCCTTCCTAACTACGAAATTCTCTTGTCATAATGGCATGAGTTTATTTTCCCTTTGGCAAAGCCAAATAGCTAATGCAGATAGTGACTTTAATTACTCAGTGAATTTAGGATGAACTATGTGTGACAAATGATGATGTCAATCAAGTCCTCCCACTGGAGGACTAGTTACTGTTCATCTTCAGAACATGTATGTAGTGGGTTGAATCTGCTTGGCCATAAAAAAAGAGTAAGATTTCTTTCTCTCTTTGCAATCTATAAGTAGATTGCTTTTGATGCACATTACTTTCTGGATTAATGCTTATTCAGTAATAAAATTTTCTTTCTCTTCTCCCTTTGTGGTGAGCTTCTGGGTTGAGGGGAGATTTAGTTTAAATTACATTTCCCCAACGTTCCCTTTTTTTCTCCATCCTCTAAATCTAGATTTCCCCAAATACTGGTGAAGAACCTGTTTTCTGTCAAAACTTTCTGTCAAAAACTTTCCCTTTGGTAGTATCAAGCATCTACTCGAACGCAGGAACCTCCATTTATCTCATTAGGAAATGTCTCCAATAAAAATTTTTAACAATTATCCAAATTTGTAATTTATTTACATTGCTTTGGAAAATTAGATCCTAATAACTTCAATGATAAATCAATCAAGAATAAGAAGGTGAAAACTTAATGAGTTTTGTGGTCTGAAGAAATTTAAAAATTAATTACAATTTATATACATATTTTGGTTACAAATGAGATAAGTGATAAAAAGATTTTCCAAGTATAAATATAATAAATTATAAAAACTTCTGGGTGAAAAGGGAAGTAGAGCTATAATTTGAATATAATTCTAAAGAGAAAAGAGAATAATATAAAATTTTTATCAAAAATAAAATACCTGTTCCTATACTTTACGTGGGTGACAATAAGTATCAATTGCTGTGTTTAGATTTCTTTGGATATAATACTTTACAAAATATATTATTTACAACTATTTAAATTTATGAGCTATCAATTTTAACATGTGTGACACAGGACACAGTTTTTCATAATTCTTTCAGTGGATATATACACACAAAGACTTTAAAAACCAATGGCCTAGGTTCCTGTAAAAGTTGCCTAACTAAGGTGAAAGTGGTGAGGGGAAGGCGGAGACAAATGTACTTGAAAAAAATAAATAAATTAAATTTTTAAAAAATTTTGCCTAACTAGCCTCTCCCTGCTGTTGGCCTCTCCTTATCATAATTTACGTTCTATACCAGTAGTTCTCAAACATTAGGTTAAAAGCCCCCTATATGCTCTTAAAAGTTACTGACATTCCCAAAAAGCTTTTGTTTATGTGGGCTATTTCTACCAATATTTACCATATTAGATATTAAAACTAAGGAAATGTTAAAGTATTTATTAATTTATTAAAAATAGCAATAAACCCAGTACATGTTAACAAATAAGTTTTATGAAAAATAACTACTTTCTAAACTAGAATAATTTTGTGAGAAGAGTAGCTCTGTTTTACATTTAAGTTTCTTTAATGTTTGGTTTAATAGAAGACTGTAAGTTTACAGCCTATGAAAAATTCCACTATCTACTAATGAAAAAATGAAAGTGAAAAAGGCAAATGACACCTTAGTATTATTATGAAAATAACTCCTGATAACACAGATTCCCTAAAGGGGATACCAGGGGTCTCCACACTTTGAAAGCTGCTGTTCAGCACCAAAAGTAGAGGAGGAGAACAAAAAAAAAAAAAAAAAAATGTAGATTTATATTCCTAAATCATGAGTTTCACCATGTTATGCTTCTGGATAAAGTCTCTAATGTCTCACCTACACCCTTTCTACTAAATGAAGTCTGAACTAATTAACACAGTATACAGAGCTCAATACTATTCTAGCCCCAACTACTCCCAACTTACAGTTTGTTCTGTAATTATGCCCTCACTTGCAAGCCCCTGATCCTCTTCTTCTTGTTGTCCTCCTCATGGAATGCCCTTTCTCTGGTTTATCAATAAACTTAAAAAAAATTAACTAACCTATATTTCCTTTCTTTTTATGAAAATATAGTTGACATATGAGTTTCAAATGTACAACCTAGTTATTCAACATTTATATACCTTACGAGGTGATCATTGTGATAAATATAGTTAACCATCTGTCACTATACAAAGTTGCTATAATATTACTATGTTTCTTATGCTGCATGTGACTTACTTATTTTATAACTGGAAGTTTGTACTGCTTATTCCCTTTCACCTTTTTCATCCATCTCTCTAGAGACCCCCAACACCTCTAGGGTATCATGCTAAGTGAAATAAGGTCAGAGAAGGAAAAATACCTATGATTTCACCTGATGTGTGAAATGTAAAATACCTTGACCTTGAAAAAGCTATTTACCCTGTCTACAATTCAGTTCCCTCATGCTTAAAATGAGATAATAATACATATTCTCCTAAGGTGGTTGTAAGGAATAAATGAGATAATACATGAAATGAATTTAAGCCTATTGCAAGCATATGATAAATTTTTGATAGTATTGACAGACTATTAATAATAGTAAAAATAAAGTTTGAAGTTTTGCTCTAAAATTTCATTTTATTGTACTAAAATATACTCACCAGAATATGGGACTTTCACCAGGTTCTTTCACTTTGTAGTATTCTTTGTCTTGTGGCAAGACTTTGGTTAATCCAAAATCTCCAATTTTAACTCTGTTTTCATTCTCCACCAATATATTCCTTGTTGCCAGGTCCCTGTGGATATACCTTTTTGTACCAAGATACTCCATACCCTATGAATAAAATATCATTCTTCTTTTAGCTGGTTTTGTAAACAAAAAATAATTTAAATGATCTTGTCTATATATACACCCTTCATTATCTAAGAAAAAGGAGAGAATTTCTTAACAATTACTTCAACATGCTTTCCTCATCTACATAATAGCCAGACTTTTCGGTACCTTGCATATTTGAGATGTGTACTGCAGAAGTTTTTTATGATCTATCCGTTCTTTATGCTTTTGGAGATAGTCACGTAAACTTCCATATGGTAAATATTCCATAATTAATCTTAGATTACGCCGGCCTTTTAAAATACAAATGGGAACATAATTTTACTTTGTCATATTTTACTAATAAAATATTTAAAAACCATATGTAAATGACTTAAAGATATATAAAATCTGAGTCTAAAAGGACAAAATGTGATTATAAATTAAAGGTGATATAATAAAGAACACAGACTTTTGAATCAAAAAGTTTTAAAAAGCTTTAAAAATAGTTGTATTTTAATCTTCTGTAACCCTTTATGCAAACCAAAATAAGCTGATGAGAAAAATTTCTTTCTCCTCATCTTGTATTGAACAAAAAGCATCCAACTTTAAAAATATTTTTAAAGAGAGAGTCAGAAAGGCGAGGGGCCCCAGGAGCAGGCGTGTGGGACTCCAGACCGGAGAGCTGGAGGCTGCGCCTTCCCCGCACAGGAACCTTTGTGACACACCAGATCCTTGTCCCTGCCCCGTGAGAGCGCCTACGATGACCACCACCCTTGTGTCTGCCACCATCTTCGACGTGGGCGAAGTTTTACACAAGGGTAACAAGGTGCTCAGCTATAGTACTCCCAGTGCAGGGGGCTGCCTGCTGGACAGGAAGGCGGCGGGCACGCCCACTGGTGGAGGCTTCCCCCGGCGGCACTCTGTCACCCTGCCCCGCTCCAAGTTCCACCAGAACCAGCTCCTCAGCAGCAAGGGTGAGCCAGCTCTGAGCTCTCAGGACGGGCGCTTCCGAGACTGCTCATTCTCAGAAGGGGGAGAGCAGCTGCTGCCCACCCAGAAGCAGCCCGGAAGCGGCCAGGTCAATTCCAGCCACTGCAAGATGAAGCTGTGCTGCCCCTTCGAGGAGAATGGCGCCTGTAAGTACGGGCACAACTGCCAGTTTGCTCACGGCATCCAGGAGCTCCGAAGCCTGACCCGCCACCCCAAGTACAAGACAGAGCTGTGCCGCACCTTCCACACCATCGGCTTTTGCCCATACGGGCCCGCTGCCGCTTCATCCACCATGCTGAGGAGCGCCGCGCCCTGGCCGGGGCCAGGACTTCTCCGCTGACCGTCCCTGTCTCCAACGTAGCTTTAGCTTTACTGGGTTTCCCAGTGCTGCTGCCATCGCCGCTGCCACGGGGCTGCTGGACAGCCCTACGTCCATCACCCCACCCCGCATCCTGAGTACTGACGACCTCCTGGGCTCACCCACTCTGCCTGATAGCACCAATAACCCCTTTGCTTTCTCTGGCCAGGAGATGGCAGGCCTCTTTGCCCCTAGCATGGGGCTGCCCGGTGGTGGCTCCCCCACTACCTTCCTTTTCCAGCCCATGTCCGAGTCCCCTCACATGTCTGATTCTCCCCCTAGCCCTCCGGATTCTCTCTCGGACCAGGAGGGCTACCTGAGCAGCTCCAGCAGCAACCAGAGTGGCTCAGACTCCCCCACCTTGGACAACTCAAGAGGCCTGCCCATTTTCAGCAGACTTTCCATCTCAGATGACTTAAGCCAGAGTAGGGAGGGACAGCCTACCCACTCCACCCAACACCCACATCCTCTACCTTCGTCTCCCTGTCTTACCCTGTAACCCCTACATTATTAACAAGGTTAAGCTCAATCCCTTTCCCCTAGAACCCTGTGATGCTCCCCACTCTGCCACTTTTAACCCTCTAACATAAGGACAAGTCAATTTGTCAGGAGCTTCCTCTGGTTTGAAACCCCCTCCCTTGGATTTTAGAGCCCACTTACCATGCATAACAGACAAGTACAGTATTTGTCAGTAGATGCCTTTTTCCCCCTCGCTTAAACCTTAAGTGCCAAATCACAAAAGAAAAAGCAGTAACAGTTTACAGAAGCAACTTAGTGCCTTGTAATCTAACTTTGTCACTGTGACTACATTACCTCTTCAGTGCCAGAGGGCACCCAGGTGTCTCCCAGAGCCTCTGCCCCTAGGGAGGGGGGAGGGGGAGGAGACCCAGACCAGCAGCTCCCTCCACTGGCGATGTAACTGCACCTTCCCTTATTCAGTCTCCCACACACGTCCTCCCCTCCCCAGTTAACCGCCCCAACAGCCCCTTGGGAGAGGTGTTGTCAGACTTGGGTTTGGGGAAACCTCTCTTGACATTTAAAACATTTTTCTTCCCGACCTGAACCTCTGTTGACTAATCTTGCCTGGGTTCTAATAGGTCTACAGGAAGGAAGATTGAAAAAGTGGATGAAGATTGTGACATAAGTGGGTTTTTGTGATTTAATTTTTTTCTTTTTCTTTTTCTTTTAAGTAGGGAGGAAGGGGAAGCTAGATGGACTATGAGAGACTTGATTTTGGTGCTAAAATTCCCCAGTTCATATGTGACACCCTTTAAAAAAAAAATGACAAAAAAAAAAAAGAAAGAAAAGCTAAAACAAAATGTAAGGGGTGAAAGTTAATGGTATTCATTCCACATACAGTATCTGTGTAAAACGATTTCCTGTAAAAGTAGCTTTAATGGTTTTTGCTCTAGAATACCGTAGGTCTATCCTTAGAGCACTCACGCCATGCTTTTTTTTTCCCCTGGGTTTTTAACTTCATATAACTTTCAGAAATTGGAGAGCAAAAATTTTGCTTGTCACTGCACATCAATATAAAAAAGCTTATTTAACTTATCAAAACATATTTATTGCCAAACTATGCTTTTTTTGTTAATTTCGTTCATATTTATTGGGATGAAAAATCCATAGAATGTATTCTTTTATGTTAAATTATGATCTTATTAATCTTAAAATTTTGTAACATCTTTTTCTCTTTTTTCCACAGTTTTAATATATTATTCTTCAATGACATTTTTGTAACTTTACACTTTTTTGGTTATTTTATTTTAAAAAATGAAAAACTAATTTTAAAAAGTACAGAAAACTTGGATCATTTATTTTAGAAATCTCTCCCCTTTGTGTTGGACTATAAATTGAGTTTCTTTCTTTTTAGGCCTTTCACAACTAGGACTAAGAATGTGTGTAGAAGTTCTGTGACAGTACAGAATAAAAGCAACTTTTTATGTATAGCTTCTAAGAGGTTGCGGGGGGAGAAACCCTTTGACTTCCATGTGCCCATCTCAAGACGTTCCGATCACAGATTTGAGGTTCTGGATTCCAGGTTTAGAGTTTTCCAATGTTAATTCAAACAGAACTGGCACATACACATTAAGATGAATGTAATTATTCCTCTTGCTGATCACTACCATCGCTTTCTATTTCTCTTTCTTTGTGTGAATTTATTTAAAAGAAAACCTTTTGTAACAACTATTTGCAGTTTAAAAATCAATAAACCCTGTGTTTTTCATGAAAAAAAAATTTTTAAAGAAAATGTAAGCAAACGGGATTTCTTTAAAAATGAAATTCACTTGATAAATTTAAGCAAGAGTGATAGCCACTATCCTCAATGAAGAGAATGATTAACCAACTAGTCAAAGATTTCCTATAGTTATAGCCTGCCATCACCAAGTACCATCTCCAATCTTCTCTCTGGACACTGGTATAAGTCAAGATTTTAAGACAATATATGTTCCTGTTACTAAGAATGCCAAGACATACCTTGAGTTCAAAAATAGATTTCAATGGGCAACATACCAGCACTGTAGCACACTCCCTTGTACTTTACAATGTTGTCATGTTGCAGGGATTTAAGGATTTCAATCTCCCTTTCAAAGTCCCTGAGGTGCTCTTCAGTGCTGTGCTGAAGCTTTTTCACAGCCACCACCTCCCCAGTGTTGTCTTGTAGAGGGTCGTACCGGCACATCTCCACACTCCCAAAATTACCCTGAACAACACAGCACATAAGGATAGAAATCTCAAGTTTTCTACATAAATACTAACAAATTCTGTAATAATTATATAAGCAATTCCAACAACAAGAATTAACAGTCATCTCTAAGCTTACAGTGGGCAACTTTCAGAACAAAAAAAGAAAATAGTGTTTCAACAGGTGGGTAATAAACCTATATATTTAATTTCTTCAAAAAGAATCATAAACAACTTCAAGAAAGCATTTAAACATAAATCATGAACATTAATTATTAAGATGGCCCAACAGGCATGCCAGGGAATTCCTAAATTTCTAACACTAACTTCCAGAAAGAACTCTGCTTCTTCTCATCACACCCTTTGACATCACTGTCAGTGAGCTGGATGGAGTAAGGGTCTATTATGACTGAATGTGTATGTCCCCACAAAAAATTCATGATAAAGTGTTAACCCCCAAAATAAGTGTATTAGGAGACAGGGCCTGTGAAAAAATGATGAAGGATAAATGAAATCATAAGGGTCAGGCTTTATTTTGATAGGGCTGGTGCCTCTATAAGAAGAGAGACACCAGAGCTCTCTATCATATGAGGGCACAGCAAGAAGGTGGCCATGTGAGGCCCAAGACGAAAGCCATTACCAAAACCAAATCCTGCCAGAACCTTAATGTCAGCCTTTCTAGCCACCAGAACTAACAAAAATAAATATCTGATGTTTAAGCCACCAAGGTCATGGTATTTTGTTATGGCAGCCTGAGTAGATTAATACAAAGACTGACTTATTTGCTCAAGAAAGTGAAATTTTAGCCTATGAGGATGTTCTTTCTTTTTTTTTTTTAGGTGAGTTGTTAAAGAGATCTGTTTTCTTTTTATTTAACACACAGAGTTGATAAGTTGATATATAACATTTAAAGTTAACTTTTGGGCATTAGTCAAATTAGTATATTTTGGATACTATTGTTTCTTAAAAAGTAAAAGAATATCGTCCTTGAACCACAAGATTCTAAGTGACTATATTTTCAGTTATATATTTGAAGTCAATTAAAAAGAAAACTTAGACCATATATAAGCTCAAAGTTAAATTTCTAATTACAGAGGCCACATACCAAGGGATGAGATGTCCCTTCTGATATTAGGTTATATAAAGACTATGGTTTCCATCATAGGTGTTTGCACTCAGCTGCCATGCTGTGAGGGAGTCTTATAGAGAGACCCATGTACAGGAGCTTAACGCATATATTCTGAGGTCTCGCAACAGCCGCACGAGTGAGCTTGAGAGTAGATCTTTCCCTCGTCAATCCTTCAGATGTGACTGCCAGGTCTGGCTGACACCCACTAAGTTGCTACCAGAATCCTGACTCACCTAAACTAGGTGATAATAAATGCTGTTTTCAGCTATTAAGTTTTAGGGTAATTTGTTACACAATAATAGACTTTCTTTCTTTTCTTTTTTTGCCATTGCTGCATCACTTGAAACATTCTTGAGAATATTTACTAACAAGGAACAGCAGCAAAGTATTAATATAGCTGAGCCAACACTCAATACAATTCCCAATGTTTAGTTCTGGTAAAGAGGAATCAGAACATTTAGCTTAGATACAAGGCCTAACTGAGGCCTTCATAATATGTCCATACCAAAATCCAATTCGTAAGGTCACATGGTACAGAACCTTATACTAGCAAATTTAGAGGAAGAAAGAGAGCTTACCATTATGATTTGACCTGCTAAGAACTGAGATTTTCCTTGTCTTACTTAAAATATGTAGGCTAAGCATGACTGTGTGACCTTTTTGCAGAAAGAAACTGTCTGCTAGTGAAAACAGTCCAGTCAACAAGTAGACTCTGAACAAGTAGACTCCTTCTCTCTGAGACGACTCAAAAAGGAAGTGAGTAGAAAGCTTTAATTCAATTATTCCTTTCTCTATTTCATAAATAAAGTGCCCTCTACCAAGTAAGCGTCCCATGGTCAAATCAACCAGGGAAATATTGCCTAATTTATCATCTTCTTGAAGATATTCAATGCACATTACAGATTAAAGGTTCTGAGAAGTTCTCAGAACTTCTGACAACTAAATCTTTTTTCTGCAAACACTCCTTAAAAATTTGTGAAATGTGAACTCTAGAGAATCTCTAAATTTTTTTCTAAATAAAATATGCTATGATTATACTATATTTTAAAACTTCTGTCATCTTACCTTGCCAAGCTGCTGCAGAAATTTCAAGTGTCTCTCTTCAAACTGAGTAGGGTCTCTGTCTTCAAAAGCACCAGAAAACCCTAGGGCACCTATCCTCATATTTGGTAACATGTCATTCTCTGTTAAAAGTTCATAATCTGCAGAAATAAAGAATATTACAACCACAAGATGGAAAATACATTTTCTGGCTTAAACTGATATGTATTCAAGCTGACCAAAATAATTAGAATGAGTTAGAAATACTAAATACAAATCAATACAGGGTAACTCTAGTAGTTTAGATTATATTAATGGAAGCCCCTACTCTAAAAGGCTTTCAAGAAAGATTTTTACAAAGGATAAATAATTACTTTACAAAATAGGTAGTTTTAGTATTTATAAAGTAAGAATATATTCTGACTTTTCCTGTGAAAATAGCAAGTAGTATTGAAACAGGAAATACCTGTGGGTCAGACACATGCATATTTAGCTACATATTTTAAAGGAGAGGACAAACAAAAATAAATCTATTTCATGTTTAGAAAACATATTATAAAATATATAAATACTGGTTTAAAAAATTGTTTTTTAAAAACTCAAATAAGACCAATATACTGCTGTAGTATACCACTCATCAAGTG